AGAGTTTTGGTAGGAGACCAAACTGTCTTGTAGCATGTCCAGGGAAACATGCAGCCCATCCTTCTTCCATTTCCGCTCTGCCTGTCTGCAGCGTCTCCACAGGGCACCGTTGATGTCATTCAGCCATGGGTCAGGAGTGTTCCTAGCTTTCATCCTAAAGGGAGCAATGGAACCCATAATCCAGGAGCAGGTAGAATCAAACGAAGAGAGAAGGACGTCGGGGCACATAGGGGAGTTCAGAGCTTCTGAGGATCAGAGGCTAGAAAAGCGGCAGCAAAGTCCAGAGCCATTGAAGGAGTAATAATCCTGCGATGCTTGCATGGGGCCATGTGTCTAGGTGCACTTGACAACGCCAGGACTTTGAAGTGGATGAAGAAGTGGGCAGAAATGGCCAGGTTTGATAGATCCCCAATGGACACAGACAAACCTAGTGAGATGACGAAGTCCAGTGTGCCCCCACGTTGATGAGTGGGGCCAAGTACTGACTGGGTGAGATGAAAGGAGTCCAACAGTGAGGGTCAGAAGAACAGTTAATGTGAATGTTAAAATCTCCACAAATCAGGAGGCTGTCAAATTGTGTAATAAGTGCTGCCAAGAGTTCCCCAAATTCATTAATAAAGTCCTTGGATTTAGGAGGATGGTATATGACTGCACATAAAACAGGACAGTGCAGCAGTACAATAAAAGTTTGTAGCTCAAAGCTGGAGTAGGCCTTGGAAGGGAGAAGGCGTCACTTTAGGGTCGGCTTAACCGTTGCCTCTACCAGCGAGGCGCAGGGTGTTGAAAAACAGGTAATCAGCTGGAAGGAGCTCAGAGAAAAGACTATTATCGCCTTGTTTCAGTGATAAAAAAATATATCCCGATTGTACGAGGAAATAAAATCATTAAGAATAAAAGTTTTGTTTTTAAGTGCTCTTGCGTTAAAGAGAGCAAAGTGAAGCGGGCTTGGCTTATCCTCAAGGAGGCCGGCCCGGGCAACTGGGCGAAGGTTGGCTTGAGAGCAACGCCAGTCTGAATGTCTCACAAGCCAGCAGCATGGGCAGCACACATGTATAGTGTGTAATAGTAAATGATGACCGATGCTCCAACTGGGACACCAGGACAGTCTTTCCCATCGTCTGCCACGTTGTTGACTGACATAGAGCAACAGGAGTACGTCTCGCCCTTCTGTTCACAACATTTTTGGCATATTGGACTGAACCATATTCGTAGCATGTTGACTTCCACACTCAGTAGCTGCCCTATCTGAGCGAGCTAGTGGTCGGTTTTACTACCGGCTTAAATCATTTCTTTTTAACTGCTGCTTCAAGTTCTCTGTGAAGGAGAGCCCCCCACCCTTTGTTATGCTTTTCCAAACACAGCCGGTTTCACACACACTCTTCTCCCGGTCCCTGGCACCTCCAAGTCATGAACGGCGTCAGGCTGTGATCTGTCAGGTACCGACCTGTTGTCATATCCGTCGTCTAAGAACGTACGACTCTATAATCATGAAATCTGACGTGCTGACCATTGTGTGGTCTGCACCGGGCATTAGAGACGTGATACTGAGTTGCTGGCTCCCTGCCCTGATCGATACTCTTTAATGGCAGCTCTCTGCTGGTGGTGTGTGTGTGTTGCAGCCGGCTGTGGTGTGTGGTTTCCAGGAGCTGACGGGGAGCTTGCAGGACCTGCTTACACAGGCTCAGGAGCATATAAAGGGACAAGAAAGTGGCACGACAGCCCTTAAGCTGGCCAGTTTAACCTTGGAAGGAAACACACAGGTTAGTGAAGTGATGCACTCACTGTTTCCCATCCAGTCGTTGATTCACTGAGTAAAAGACAAACTTTGATTTTATGGCCTATGAATTAAAATTGTTTCAGATTAATAATATTTGTATTGCTGTTTTTAGAAAGGAGCTGCTCTTGAACTTGATCACGTCTGTGGGGCTCAGACCTCGTCTACCCTGCTGTTTTAGAGGGTTAGTTACAGTGTGTGTGATTTGTTGATAGGCTCTTCATGTGTTTCAGGACGAGGCGTCGTTTATGAAGGCTGCTATGGACAAGGTGCAGAGCAGTTACCTGCGCTCGCTACAGGAGGTGGGAGACCTGCTCAAGAAAAGAGCAGAAACTGTAAAGAACCTCAAGATCTGAACACAATCGCACACCTAAAATTAAGATGGCTGCCCTCCACCATCGTCTGCTGACAGCCCAGCAGCTCACCCACCAGTCCTACTTTCTTTGCTGGTCCAGACCCGACCTGCCCATCAGTCATTTCTCACCTCCTCTCCTTTCCTCTGGCCTCGGTCTGGATTTCTGTCTTTACTTCCGCACACAGCTCCGGGACATTTGCAACTCTTATAGCACATAAACTCAAGAGATTATACACCAGTTGAGTGAAAATGAGGAAAAACGTGCTCCTTTAAGTGAATAATGCAAATGAGAAAACATGAATAAGCAGTTTGTCGAACTAATCTAATGCTTTATTGTACATAGTGAAGAGCAGCTGCCACAGCTCCTGACTGAGACAATGTAAGACACAATAAACCACTGTTTGTTGGTTATGTTTCCTCTTTTTCCTGCACTTTGTTTTTCCCAGTGACTCCGACAGCACTTAACTGAGGAGGAAAGGTCTATCGATGTGCTGCTTCTCCAAGTGCAACCCACAACAATTTAGCATTAAACTGATCGACTGTGGGAGTGTGGACGCCCGGCAACCAGCACAAAGCCTTCGACCTGAGCTTTCCCCATCTGAGACTTAGTCACCGTCTGTTTTTTGCTTTGTGCGTCTCGTGTGTCGCTTTGATTCTGAAAGTGGAGCCGCCTCTGTAGTCACAGTATCACAAAGCGCAATGTTTGGATGAGTTGAGGACAATTTTTTAAAATAAGAATCTTTTGGAACAGTTGTGTGTTATAAATACTAGTAGAAGCTGTGCTTGGTAACCAGGCCTGCGAAATCAAGTTGTTCCAGCACAAAAGACGAACACAGGCTTGGAACAATTCATCAGAATCCTTTAGGACTGAGGTCATGAGGGATTAGTTTAATATGAATGTTCACCAAAAACCATGTTGTTCATTCAAATACCCACAATTCTTTCTAGCACAATGCAGCTGCTTGATTTTAATCGAGCAGAGACAAACAGAAGTCTTCATGAAAATCATGTCTGTAGCGATAAAATCACAGTGTGAAAACTAGCAGACGGAGTATCATGTCCAGTTCAGTTCAGTCCAGACCAAAGCATGGACGATTCTGTCTAGTTGGACCCAGATCTGACTGTACAACCAGCGTGTAGTTCTGTTCTGGGATGTCATGAGCAGCTTGAGAGGTGTTTCACTCAACAACATTGGACCTAATTGTAAATAAGAGTTGTGCAGCCTTGTCAAAGCGCAGTGTGCAGGGACAGTAGTGTGTTAGTAGCTACCATGTGTTATGTTTCAGAAGCCCCAAACCAAAATATATTCAGCAGCTTCGCAGTCTGTGAAACCTCAGCATCTTCTATTAGAAATAGACACAACCCAGAGGAAAAAAAAGTGGACAGTGGCATAGTTTACAGATTCATCACTGACAGATGGCGGCCGGCGCTGTGTGTAGTGTGCAGTTGATTCTGTTTTATTAAGACTTTGCTGCCAAAGTCTTGGACCTTACCTAATAAATGTATTTTAATTAATAAGCTGAGAGAAATTTCACTTAAATTGCTGCATAAATATCATCCTGTCAAAACTTTTCTTTCTTCAAGGTTTAAAAAGCACATCGACACCAGCTGCTCTTCCTGTGATTCTGCTCCTGAAACTGTTGTGCTCCTGTAACTACACTGAAATGTTTTGGTCAGACCTGCTTTTATTCACAGTAAAATTCTGTTTTCGTTCTCCTTTTAAAACATTCTTGTGACTTTTGAGCACAAGAAGGATGATAACAACACACACTTTTACAATTGCATTGACATCCATGAATGAAAAAATACTCGTTGGTAGAATATATATTGTAAGTTGTTTATTTTAAATTAATTATTTAGTTTACTCTTCTCTCTGATTAGAAGCTATGCTTCACTTTTGTTGGAGGAGGTGGTGCAGGTTTGTCGTGCAGACAAACAACCACACACACGGGGCCAATTTAGAGTCACCTATCAAAGCTGCATGTCTTTGGACTGTGGGAGGAAACCGGAGCGCCCGGTGAAAACCCACGCAGGCACAGGGAGAACATGTAAACTCTACACAGAAAGGCTCGAACCAGGGACCTTCTTGCTGTGAGGTGACAGAGCTACCTGCACCACTGTGCTGCCCTTTGGTGATGTTTGTACATGAAAATATCTTCCCAGTGTCATCTTTTTCTGTAGATGAAGCTTGGGGAGAAGCTTTATCCACAGTGGGATGAAGCCGGAGTACCCGGAGAGAACCCACACAGGCACAGGGAGAACAGGCAGACTCGGGCTCACCTGATCCAGCCCTAACTACAGCATTTTAAGCATTTGGAACGTGGAGATGATACAAGACTTTGGTTTTGTCAGGTACTTTCTGATAGAAGAGGCTATGCTTTTTCCAACTTCTGGGTTCTTTGAAATCATGGCAAGCAGTAGACTGTCTGGACAGCCCCACCTCTTACGTAGGTCCTTGTAAATAGTTTTGGGGAGGATTTTTAAAGTTTCTCGGGTAATCGGAATATCAATGCCCTCGACTTCCACCCATGTTTTTTCCAGCAGGTCAACAACGAGAGCTCCTGAGATTGTACAGCTCATTTTTGCCTTTTTGACTGTCTGTGCAAAGAGATTCTCCACAAGAACCCTGACATCTGCTTTCATTTTGTCCACCTGCAGTGTGATGTCCTCCCCAGGTTCAGCATGCATGTTCTCGCATTGTGGCAGCTCCTCATAAACACTGTCTTTGCATTCTGACATCTCACCTGTGGCTAAAGGTGCAGCATGCTTGCATTTTGACGGCTTACTAACTACTGCATATACAGGGTCCTCCTGTTGTGATGGCTTACCATTTACAGGGGCCTTGCATTCTGATGGAAAACTAAGTATTGCATATACAGGGTCCTCCCGTTGTGATGGCTTACCATCTACAGGGGCCTTGCATTCTGATGGAAAACTAAGTATTGCATATACAGGGTCCTCCCGTTGTGATGGCTTACCATTTACAGGGGCCTTGCATTCTGACGTCTCACCTGTGGATAAGGATGCTGTCTCCACAGCATGCATTATATCACGTGTAAGCTCTTTACTGTGGTTGCTGGCCTGACTTTCCATCCACCAGACAATCAGTGTCAGGAAAGAATGCATTTTGTCTTCTATGTCAGCATACAGGGCAGCAAGTGACTCAGGGAGACTAGTTTTCCCATCCTTTGGCCTTATTCTACCCCTAATGCCCCTAATGTGTTTATAGATGACATCACTAAGTTGCATTTGAACTGTATAAAATTCACGGCATCGATGGGAACCAAATTTTTCGGTCACAATAAGAACATCTTCTTCACTCTTCTTCATGAAGATCAGAGGATCAATATTATCCATGAGTGACTGGACTGACTTCCTGCTTTTGGCTATAGAGTTGGGGTGGCTTTTCATCAGCTGAGCCAGGATGCCATGTATTAATGTTCTGGCAAACAGCTTTGCAAAGAGGTTTTTTGTCTTGACCTTAATGCTTTTCACAGTCACTGTGGGCCACTTTGGGTGTTCTGAGTGTTTCAGACTCTGAACGTGTTCAGCAGTTAGCTGAGAGATGTCTTCAGCAGCAGCTGTAATCTTCTGAGAACAGTCCATGTGTAGCTGCACATACTGGAGGTCTGGCACATCTGTCAATAAAGTTTCGGTGATGTCTTCCACCCCCAAGCATAGTATTTCAGCAATAACTTGAGTTCTCTTCCCAAGATTAACCTTTTTCAGGTAGTTGGATGGGCGTATCCTGGGAGTGTTTGGTCCACACAGGTTGTTTGTCAAATCAGGTGCCTCCTCTAGCATAGCATAGACAATGTCAATCATCCTATTTAGTTCATCAGGCTCAACTATAGGACGCCTGACATATGGCTTGGAGTCAATCATCCTGTCCGGATTTAAAGATATTGCGACTCTTCTAGTTTCTTTAAGAATCAGGTGTACAAGGTTTGACATGCCGAGTTCCTGTGATAGGCTTAGCTTGCCGATCACTTCAGAAAAACTGCTAGTGATCATTTCAGATAGAATTGGCTGAACTTGTTCATAGGTGAGGTTCTCTTCTATTCTGGCCGTTATCCGTTTATGTGTTAATTTATTTATAGCGTCCAAAGCCAACTCTCCAAGCAAAACCTTAGTGGAAAACTCAGAGTACCTGTTACTCAGTTCTTCTCTTAACGTATCCATCGAATCTACTCTCAGACACTCAAACAGGGATTTGGTCTTCCAGTTTATATCAGCTGTAGTATGTGACTTTTTTTTGTTATCTGTCTTAAATTGTTTAGGCTTCTCCATTTCTTCCAGTAACTATCGGACGTGTAATTCTTAGCAGTGTTTCGATGCGAATGAGATAGTGAGGCAGCCCGGTACACTTAAATCCCTGTGGCTTTGATCTCCGTGACGTCGTGTGACGTCACTGTCCTTATCGCTTGCTGAATGCTGCTTGCGTGCATTCGCGTGTCTAGCAACGGTTGCCACGTTGAATACTTTTTGTATTTTGACTTTTTCTTTCCCTCATTCTCCCTTTGTTTTGCATTTTTCACATACATGTAAAATGTTGCATTGACGTTGTCTTCTGGAGGCACCGAGGACCAGGCGTAAAACTAGGGGGGATAGAGCCTTCGCTGGGTCCAAACCTGCTTGGCCTCTTTATATTAGGCAGGCCCCCTCATTGTCTACTTTTAAGTCTTATTTGAAGACCTACTTGTATTCATTGGCGTTTGGCCAGGAATGAGACTCGGTCTGTAGTGTTAGAGTGTTTGTTTTATCGTTTATAGTTTTTTTATGTGATGATTTTAGATTTGTATGGTATGTTAAACACTTTGGTCAGCTGTGCTGTGGTAAAGTGCTATATAAATAAAGTTGAGTTGAGAGAAAATGCGGGATGTTTTAAAGGCTTTATTTCTCTTTACCATCTTTAGTGAATTAGTCGAAATGTTTAATTCTGAGTAAAACGAATGAATATGGTTTAGAGGATCTCACTCTGGCTTTGTGTTTATCAGATTTCCCCATTAAACATAAAAGCTTAATTGCGTTATCCAGGTTTGTACTAAAATCAGTTTGTAGAAACATATACCAACCAGCTTTTTATAGGAAGTGAAAGGTAACACGTAATTTTTCACTGCTCATCTTAACTGAAAATCTCTCTTTATTTCCTTAAAGAAGCCTTAGGGACATGAAAATCATTATACCAGAGGGCTCAGAGGGCGCATGTGCCTCCACCATGGCACAACGTTCACTCACACAAATGGTCCCTTGTGGAAAATGAGATCCACAACAACACAAAATGTCTCCTAAAACCCTTACTCTGGATCGATCCGGATCATCTTTTAGAGTACGACAGGCAGTTATACTGTGCATCCTACCTGAACATTTTGGGGTTGTATCTTCATTATAGACCAGGTTATGGCAGAAGCGATAAATAGGGTTTTCAATGTCGGTGACAGAGAGCGAGACACCATCACATTTTCCTGCAAAGCAGTATCTCTGCCACGTCATAATCCCGCTCTTATTGTCGTTGTTTCTCCATATTATAGACCTTTCACATCAAACCCCCATGTGCATCACAATGGAAGGTGTGTAGAGTTCTTCGTAGCCGTTTTTAACAACGGCATGAGAAAAAAGATGAACGTCTTATAAAGGCCAAGAATCCAACCTGGAAACATTCTCAGCAGTGGGTTGTGTGTTTTGTACATCTGTTAACATGGGGAAAAGGGACATTCTTCAACTGCGTGCCTTTCTAACAACGGACTTCAAGTTAATTTAGTCCTTTTTGTATCTACTGATGTGGGTGTAAAGCAATAAATGTTTCCTTGAGGATTGTAGATGTTAGTGTAACAATAATGAATCTGTGACCTTGAGAAACAGCTACGCACTATCCCCTGCAGGTATTTTTGTAATATTCTGTAATAAATTGTCTTTACATATGGGTTTACTTCCTTGTGATTCTTAAATTTCAAATTTTGGTCCACTGAACAGAGCTGTATGACCAGTAATGTAGACTAACTCAGAACTGTTTCATCCATATTAACAGGATGGTTGTTAAATGTTTCTCCAGCTTCAAATTCCTGGGGACCCACATCTCAGAGCATCTGTGCTGGACCACCAACACCTGCAGCCTTGTTAAGAAGGCTCACCACTCACTGTTCTTCCTGAGGACACTGAAGAAGAACCGTAATAAATTGTCTTTACATATGGGTTTACTTCCTTGTGATTCTTAAATTTCAAATTTTGGTCCACTGAACAGAGCTGTATGACCAGTAATGTAGACTAACTCAGAACTGTTTCATCCATATTAACAGGATGGTTGTTAAATGTTTCTCCAGCTTCAAATTCCTGGGGACCCACATCTCAGAGCATCTGTGCTGGACCACCAACACCTGCAGCCTTGTTAAGAAGGCTCACCACTCACTGTTCTTCCTGAGGACACTGAAGAAGAACCACCTGTCTTCAGCCATCCTGGTGAACTTCTACCGTTGTGCCATTGAGAGCATCCTGACCAGCTGTATCACAGTCTGGTACAGAAACTGCTCTGTCTCTGAGCGCAAGGCGCTATAGCAGGTAGTGAAAACTGCCCAATGCATCACAGGGCCTCCACTTCCAGCCATTGAGGGTGTCCACAGGGAACACTGTCTCCAACGTGCTCACAGCATTCTCAAGGTCTCCTCTCACCCTGCTCACAAAGTGTTTGACCTCCTGCCCTCTGGGAGGCGCTTCAGGAGCCTCTGGACCAAAACCAGTAGACTCAGGAACAGCTTCATCCCCACAGCTGTCTCCTTACTGAACTCTGTCCCCCGTTGACCCCCCACTGCCTTCCTCTATACCACTACACACACCTCACCCCTTCTCATCTCTCCTCCCGGACCTAATGCAATACACTTCTGTTACCTGTAACACTGAAGTGATCTGTTAATCTGCACATTCTCAGAATACTGCTGTTATTCATTTGCACACTGTACATATGCAGATACTGTATATTTATCTTTGCACTATTTTCATCCATTGAACTGTTAATTCATGTAACTCATTATCCTCTTATTCTGCACTGTTTCATCTCATTTCATTTCTTTCCACTTCATCCCATTGCACTAGTGTCCTATAAGCTTAATGTACCTTATCCATTATTTGTAATTTAAATCCATAGTCTGTTGTACATCATACATTACCTACATATCTTACTGTAAATATCAATTATACATACCTATTGGTAAATTAGTTCTGACTGTACAGACTAGATTCTCCACTGCTGTTATTGCACTTCTGGTTAGATGCTAAACTGAGCGTCCGTGGCTCAACACACAGGTTTTGTCTCTTGGTGTTTATAAATTAGAAAAAACACACCACCAGTGTCTGTGGGCCTCGGCATTAAAATCCCTCGTGCGACATTCCTGCAATAAATCGATGCTGTGTTAAACTTCCATAAGCATCCACCTGCACTGTTTGTCAGACATGTCAGCTGAAACCCTAACAATCGGCCAAACATGCTGTGAAGTTCCTTCTTTTGATTGTTTACCTTTATAACATTATACAGTTATTAGGAATTTTAGCTGTATTGTTGCCGGTGTTTCAACTGGAGCCTATCTGGAAATAGTCAGTATGGTAGCAGTACTATATGGCCATCTACACACACACATACACAAAGTTATTCTATAATAACAAGGGTATACCACACAATAACAGACACCAGGGTAATATTAGATTGTTACAAATGAAGAATGCATTGTGCAGCTCAGAGACATTTGCTAGGGATCTGCATTGCCGATGAGGTAAGTTGTTATATTAAGCAAATACCATGCAACACGACACTAATGGTCTCAGTTATAAGGCAACGTGAGGACGCGATAGAAATGTGTGATATCTTTAGCAAGTAAATTGGCAGAGAATGGTTTCTTTTACGACAGTGTTCAAATTACTTTACCATTAATGCTTCCATCATATATTGAGCATTTTGAATTTAATATTGTAAAGAAATATAATGTTGTATTTTACACCTGACAGGTCCAGAGTTGATGTGAACAGGAAGCCACTTCTATGGTTCCCAAGGACAAGGCACCATTCCTGATGTGGTTACAATGGCAAAGAGCACTGGTACTGGGATTCCCTGTGGGGGTGGGGGGAGGAGGTTAGGACGATTCTAAGGGCCCACGACTTTGGGGGCCCACAGAGACTAGCATCCAGGGTACATTTTGTTCATGTTCTTGTAAAAACATAACCACGGGGTTGATCTCTTCACTCGACTGTACAGTCTTTTTCATATCTTTCTAAAATCCTACATTTATGTAAAGGTTCAGAAACTGACATGAAAACTGACATTTCTACAAATCATTTGTAAATCTGACAACCTGAGAAATATATTTTTGGCTGAAGTTTAAGATGGCCCCTGTCAGATCTGGTTAACGTTCTCCTATATAGTAACACATGACCTCAGCTACTACAGTAGTTACAGGCCACTCACCAACATCCAGGGTACATTTTGTTCATGTTCTTGTAAAAACATAACCACGGGGTTGATCTCTTCACTCGACTGTACAGTCTTTTTCATATCTTTCTAAAATCCTACATTTATGTAAAGGTTCAGAAACTGACATGAAAACTGACATTTCTACAAATCATTTGTAAATCTGACAACCTGAGAAATATATTTTTGGCTGAAGTTTCACTTTGAGGCAGCAGTGAGTGGATGTGTGAACTTGTTTTTCAGGTGTTTTGCAAAAATAGTGGCCTTGTTTGTTAAGGCCTTGTTTCTTAACAGCTTTGAAAGGAATCCTGTAGTTTGTGCATTTGCATCATCGGAGCTTGGTGTAAGAGTTCATCTTCTCTTTAATCTGTTCTGTTTATTAGTAGGACAGCGGCTGAAATGTCTGTAAATCTGAAGGCAAAAGGGAGAAATTTCTATTTTTTATTTCATTACAGAACCCCAAAGCTGTCCCTCTGACAGTAAAGAAAAGGAGTATTTCTGATATTTCCCCAAACATCACAAATACACAACTATGTGTCCAAGCAGTTTTGCCACACCAGCATAAAAAATGGTGACATTTCACTGCAAATTCAATTTCAATGGAAATGCACCATTAGAGAATTAGTTCTCAGTAGAAGCTCAGACCTATGGTCATGAGCTTTGGGTCATGACCGAAAGGGCAAGATCCCGGATACAGGCGGCCGAAATGAGCTTCCTCCGCAGGGTGGCCGGGCGCACCCTTAGAGATAGGGTGAGGAGCTCAGAGTAGAACCGCTGCTCCTCCACATCGAGAGGAGCCAGCTGAGGTGGCTCGGGCATCTGTTTCAGATGCCTCCTGGGCGTCTTTCTAGGGAGGTGTTCTGGGCATGTCCCACCAGGAGGAGGCCCCGGGGAAGACCCAGGACACACTGGAGGGACTATGTCTCTCGGCTGGCCCGGGGAAAAAAGTTTGAAATATCCAATAAATTTCGTTCCACTTCATGATTGTGTCCCACTTGTTGTTGATTCTTCACAAAAAATTACAGTTTTATATCTTTATGTTTGAAGCCTGAAATGTGGCAAAAGGTCGCAAAGTTCAAGGGGGCCGAATACTTTCGCAAGGCACTGTAGTGACTTAATGGTTACTGTAAAAGCTACAGCACCCCGCTAATAGTCACCCATTACAGTACTTCACTAAAGATACAGTGATTAATTTTACTGTACAATCTTCAGGTGAGACAAGGCCTTAAGAAAAAATAAAACTACAGACAATAAATGAATAAATGTGATGTCAGGTGAACGCTAACAGATTTTTACTTGCCAGACTGTCAGAGAAGATGGTACAATCAGTCTTCATGTGGGCACCAATCTGATGACAGAACTGGCAGAGACAAGCATGAGACTATCGAGGATGATCGTGGAAAAGGCCTGCAGATCTACATGGAAATAGTCAAACATAATGTGCTGAGTTTGAAACAGAAGTGTCTCACCTCGCCTCACATGCCTGTGCTACCTGTGCGTCTGTGCTGTGCCTCCCAGGGGTCAAGGGTCAGCAGTGCCCCAGTTAACCATTAGTCAGAGCAACAGTGGCCATATGTTACTGTAAGCAGGTCTCAGCTGCACTCCCATGAACTACTGAGTGAATTTAATTTTTGACTTGATCAGTTTTCCCTCAAAAGGTCACATTCCACACTGGGTGGAGTTAAAAAAGCAGCTCTTCCTGTGGGAAAAAAGATTCTGAGATTGACTTTAAAATCTAAGGATGTTGCCCCAGGTGGGATTTGAATTACAGGAGGATGGGCAAGCTTCCAGAAATGTCACCACTTATAATGAATGGAGAAATGTGGCATGTCACCCCTCCATTTTCTATGTGCATAATTATATTGAGCACTTCATATAACACTCGAGGAAGAACCGGTTTTCTTCTGCTTTGTTTGAACTGTCTGCTTTTTATGTGTAAGGGTTGCAATGTGCAGTTAGTTCCTCTAGGTGGCAGCAACACGCCAGTGGTTAGTTATGCCTGTCCATTTTTGTTTGAAGAAGAGCTTCATGCTACAAACAACCGTGATTGTTATTGCTAACTAAATTCTCAGTTAACGTTACAGTGTTTATGGTTGGCGGAAGGCAAAATCAATATGACTAGTATAATGTTGGTCTTTTTGTTTAATTAAAAATTGCCCCAGGTGCCTTGACATCTAGTTACATTTGAACGCAAGTTAATTGACTTGCTAGCTGGACGTGTAGCTAGCTGGTGTAGCTCGGTTAGCCGGTTGTCACTGTATTGTGTCGAGATCTTTTTCAACAGGGGAACGGATCTCGACCCAACACCGGTTTTTCGTTCTCTGTAAACGTGGCAGTTTATTTTATAACACATGAGTGTGTCTCTGGTCGTTATCCGTTTGGAAATTGCTGACCAGTCTCCTTTTCCACAAGGTTTCCAGTACTCAGCTGGTAAGTTTGATATTGTCCTGGAAGTTAATTATTTTGTGTTAAGTTAGCCAGGCAGCTAACGGCTAACTATCAGTGACAAGATGAAAATCACCCTAACACAAGCGTGGGTTTACTGAGCGAAAGGATTCTGTTTACTGTTAGCCAGTTGTTTGTAATAGACAAATTAACAATTGTGATCTGTGTGTCCCTCGCGATGATACTCATTTCTTGTATTCATATATATAAGGACAACTCTCATTAACCCACATTTACTGTAAATGTGGCAGTGTTGGCCAGACGACTGATTTTATTTGCAGTCATAGGGTGAGTGTTGGAGCAGCCTTGACGTTCAGTGGTTTGGCCATTAGAGATCTCCTTTGTCGTGTCTGTAGTTGAAGGTATGTCAGAGGAGGAGCAGCAGGAGAAGGCTCTGGGTTTAGCCAAACACACTCTGAGTGGAAAGCCCGACCTGGAGAGAGAAGCTGTACTGCACCAACACATTGGCAGTAGAGCCATGGGGGACATGGTTATAGAAACGTTTGAACCCAGCCCAGGTAAGACATGCATGTCCCACAATGGTGTATAGTTTTTATCTGCAGCAGTGTGATGCACACTGATACACAAGCAGAGGTCATGAGATGTGAAACGTAAAGGAAGGCCACGCTATGAAAACACTCACAGTAGTTTATTCAGGCCCACATATACTGTCCTACTGCTACACACAGTAACCAGAGCAGAGGACTGCACATGTCCTGTTTTACAAAACCTGGTAGTGGAAGTGATCCATTATCCACAGATATCTCTAAATTAAATCTGCACCTTAGTCATTGTCATGTAAACATAATCACTCACTTTCACATTCATCTAGTTTGCATGGAAGCAGGGCTTGCATCATAGCTGGTCTGACAGTATCTACATTTTGCATGATGAACTGTCCCATTCACCACTCGCTCGGTCAGATCCCATTTGTTGTGTATGTAAAGCAAAATCACAAAGAGAACTGAATTTCTCCTGTAGATAAAGGTAGAGGTGAAGACCCTGGTGGTTCAGTTCTCTTTGTTACTTTGCTTTACATCCACAGCAAAGTAAACGCAGATGGTCAGGAGGGCACTGAGGCTTCACAAGACCACAGTGTATCAACAGGCACGGGCCCTGACTCCCCCTCCAAGCAGCTGCCAGACCAGATCTCTTTCTTCAGTGGGAACCCCTCTGTGGAGATCGTCCACGGTATCATGCACCTCTATAAGACCAAGTGAGTTCTTATTCTATTCTACTTTATTCTGTTTTAGTTCCTAAATGTTATGGCACCCAATACTAGGTGAGAGAGAAACGGTATTTCGATTTTCTGTATGTTCTGCACAAATGGTGAACTGACAATAAAGAATCAAGAATCGTTATTGTCAATATGTATAGCACAACGACTTAAAAGAGACATTATTTACATAACACACAATTGTATAAGTCAGTATAAAACTGAGCAAATAAGGGATGTATGGAACACAATCAGGTCAGCAGCATGTTAGAAGAGTGTAGTAACATTATAAGGTGCAGCTCAATGCAAATCTCAGTCTTTACGAAGAGGTGTGAACATGGGGGTGTGTCTGCAGAGGTCCAGTGTTCTGTCTGTGTCGGTCCATAGTGGGGAGGTTGTGTGTGACTAGGGGTTGGGGGGGTGATTGATTTCACAGCTCTGGGGAAGAAGCTGTGTCTCAGTCTGTTTGTTTTAGTCTTTATATTCCTGTACCTTTTCCTGGAGGGAAGAGGCACAGACAGACTGTTGCCTGGGTGGGTGGGGTCTGCAGCAATCCATCCGGCCCTCCTCTGGATCCGGTCAGCGTATAGTGAGTCCAGATCCAGAAGAGGACTATCTAAAATGCCCTGAGCTGTTCTCACCACCCGGGTCAAGTCCCTCCTGTCCTGTGCAGTGCAGCTGCCGTACCACACTGTCACACTGAGACAGAGGATGCTCTCTACTGTCGCTCTGTAGAAGTTTGCGAGCAACTGAGAGGAGAGACCAGCGCGTTTCAGCTTCCTGAGGAAGAAAAGCCTTTGCTGGGCTTTCTTCACCAGGTAGGATTTGTTCAGAGACCAGGCCAGGTCAGATGTGATGTGGACGCCCAGGAACTTGATGTTATCCACTTGCTCCACCACCTCCCCGTGTATGAGAAGAGGAGCATATTTTGTCTCCCTGGACCTCCTATAATCCACAATGACCTCCTTAGTCCTGTTGGTGTTCAGGACAAGATTGTTATCTGAACACCACCTTGTCAGGTCTGGATCTCCTCTCTGTAGTGAGTCTCATCATTGTCTGAGATGAGACCCACTACGGTGGTGTCGTCTGCGAACTTCACTACTGTGTTTGTGGGGTGAATGACATCACAGTCATGGGTAAACAGAGTGAAGAGAACGGGGCTGAGCACACAGCCCTGTGGTGTGCCTGTGTTCAGGACCAGTGTGGATAAAATCCTTGAACCTTGAGACACGTCTGGCAGTTCTCTGCCACTTCAGTTTGCTGTTCGATTCATTCATTCATTCATTCATTTATTTATTCTGATTGTTATTGTTTTTTTGTGCAGTAAAATGACTTCACTGACTGAAGACGTAAGACGTAGCGCCATGGTGTGCATCCTGACTGTCCCGGCAACCATGACGAGCCACGACCTCATGAAGCTTATGGCTCCATTTAATGATGTCATGGAGCATATGAAGATCATACGGGACTCCACCCCTAACCAGTACATGGTTCTGATTAAGTTCTCTACACAGGTGAGGTCTTAAGCAGCAGTCAGAGTTATAACTCCACTAACCAGCCACCAATCTAATACAGCTCCAGCGAAGAAGACTTCAGCAAGAAGAAAGAAAGAAAAAGGAATGATTAGAAAAATGAACACATTAAAAAGCATGTGGGTGTCTGTCCTTCTCAGCATGGGGCACCAACTTTTGTACCCACGTCGTCCTCTTACATGTTCTTACCATGTTGGTTAAACGGACACTTGTCCTACTTTAAAACAACTCGGGGCTTGTGCTGTATCATCTGCTACTGTTACAGTGAAATATGATCCAGGAAGTAGCAGCAGATTTATATGTTTAAAGCGTAATAGGCTCCAGAACACAGCACAGCGGTTTGTACATTTCACATACTCTGGAAAGTTGTCATAGCAGCAGCAGTTTTTATCTTTGGTCTGAAGTTAAACAGCAGAATGTTCTGGCAGCACAATGAGGAGCCATGTGTAGCATCACCATAAAACGGTTCCCTCACTGGTTGGTCAGCTAGTTATTTGATTTAATTTGTTGTTCAGGGTGGAGAGCATGTTGTAGTGATGATGTCACGGCTAATTGAATAACTTACATTTGCATGATTATTCAGCCTCAAAAATGATTCGACAGCTCATCTTTAATGTGGAGGCTTGTGCACCTGCTGCCTCATATTAATAAATGACCTGTGCCTATTTCTGACTTACTGCTGCTGTTTTCCTCTCTCTCTCTTTGTTTAGGCAGATGCAGACAGTTTTTACACAGCGTGTAATGGCCACCAGTTCAATTCCATAGAGGAAGCCGTGTGCCAACTGGTCTATGTGGAGCGGGCCGAGGTTATAAAGTCTGAAGAGGTAAACGCAGCCATCCTGTAATCACTGTTCAGTAGGGGTGCGATGAGATCTCACGATATTAAAAGTGATGATATTTCTCATCAAGGGAAAAGCTGTCTCATGATATCAGTATATAACAGAACCGGAGCAGCAGCCAGTATGATGGAGTGAGATGGTGCATTCACTTCAGCAGGCATTCAGACTGATCCAGTAAAAACTCAACTCCCTGCTGTGTTTTAACGCCCGGGGCTGTGTTGGTCAGAGGCTGAGGGGTTGAAGGGGGAGTGATGTAAGGCGTGTACGACACGGCCACATTGGGAAGAGTCAACATAAGCTTCATTCATGTTTCCAGGCCTAGACTTTCTGTTGTGTTTTGGTTAGCCATGTTGCTAATGTTGCATACTCTACCTTAGCACCAATTCTCCCACCAGTGTGTCAGCGTTGATAGATAACAAACCAGTACTAACGAAAATGCACAGCGTGTTGTCATGGTGGATTAACTGTGGCCCAGATTCGACAGTGAATAGCGGTGAATGCTCATGCTATCAAGGTAAACAAAAGTCTTCTTCCCGTGGGCGTCAACGTCCCTGATTGTCTCCCGTACATGATTGGTCAGCACAGCACCTTTGTCAGATGATGTCACTGTCCGGTGCTGTGGGGGTGAAAACACTGCTTCAATTAGAAGTTAGAAGCTCATGCACAGTTCATGCACAGCTCTAAGGTCTGAAGAGCCTCATGTAAAATCCTATAGGAGAGAAGCCGGTTGGCCGAGTCCATGGCCAAAGCTTTACGGTGGCTGCACATTGCCGTCTTTTACAGCACGTGATTGTTCCCACTCAGGACGTAGAACTGAGGTGACATTCATTACAAGATGTTTAGTTAGAACGCTTCAGAATGCACCTGCACTGTTTTGCATTTTGTGACTTCCAGTCAAATGAAAGATTATTTTACCGGTCATATATTTCATCCTTGAAAATTTCTTTAAATTTGTGTTAAAAAATTGTCTCACCTTGTTCTCGTGAGCTAGATTCTCCAAGTTAATCTGATAGTTCACTGAAGGTGTAATGGATAGTCAGTCAGCAGAAAAATAATGAGCACTGATAGTCAGTGAATTGTTCAGTTCTGGCTCCTCCGGTGTGATCGTTTCCTACCTTTCTCTGTTTTTAGCCATTGTAAACTGAATATCTGATACCTTTCAGCGATTGTCACCTTCCACCAGAACAAAGGAACAAATATCAGTTGTGCACCGTGTCAGACTGTTGCTGCCTCTCTCTGATCTCCTGCCCTCTCCTCAGGGAGCCAGTCTGCCGGTGATGGAGCTGACCGAGCTGCCGAAGTGCACGGTGTGCCTGGAGAGAATGGACGAGTCTGTGAACGGCATCCTCACCACTCTGTGCAACCACAGCTTCCACAGCCAGTGTCTCCAGCGGTGGGAAGACGCCTCGTGAGTTGTACAGACGCACACAAACACAGAAAATTTCCCTGGACCTTTCCTGTTTCTTATATTGTACCATGTTTGTTGCTCGGTCACTCAGTAGTTGTTACTTGCTCTTGGGAAATACTATTAAAACTGCTAGTAGGATTGTGTTATTCTTAGCCTACATTAGAGAGAAGCTTATGACCTCCTTTTAACAAGGAACGTAACTAAACCTCAGCTTTGGTTTTACCCTGATCTCCAACCATATAAACCAAAGAGCCTTCTCACTAATGGCAGAGTCGCACTCTCTCTCTCGCCCGGCTCTCAGTCAGCTGGATGTTTCTCCACGCTTCGTGTCATGTGGTGTTTGTTTTGTCCTCTTTACATCTGTTCTTCTGTGTCACAAAGGACCACGGCACGTGTGTGTGACTGTAGCTGAATGTGCTCTGTTTTCAGGTGTCCAGTCTGTCGGTACTGTCAGACTCCAGAACCAGTTGAGGAGAACAAATGCTTTGAGTGTGGAGTGCAGGAGGTAACTAATGTCGCTCTCTCTCTGTTGCTGTGTGTGCGTTCATGTTAGTTTTCAGTTTCTGCTGTGCCTTTCTTTTCTGTAGAACCTGTGGATTTGTCTGATCTGCGGGCACATCGGCTGTGGCCGCTACGTCAGCCGGCATGCCTACAAACACTTTGAAGAAACGCAGCACACGTACGCTATGCAGCTCACCAACCACCGTGTCTGGGACTACGCAGGAGGTGCTGGATTTGTGTGGCCTTGCTCGTGCGTGTGTGTTTATGTGACTAAGCACTTGTTGCTGGTTGAGGATGCTCACAGTTTATTACAAGGTCTTAAACAGCCATCAAGGGTTTATTATGGCTGTTTAAGATGCATTAACCAGTTGTGGACATTAGAGGGCAGAGAAATATCATGATCAGCTGAGAGTCCTGTTAATAGTCGTCACCAGAAAACGTCAAGTACTTCTCATTCATGTCGATTCGAAGTTGTGACTCAGAGTTGATCAACAGTTGTTAGAGCTCAGAGTCGTGTCCAACTTTGTCTGGTGGGGCCGAGCAGGTAGCGTGCAGCTTATGTGAGTTATTTTTGCCACAAACAGAGAGACCGAGCCACGTAATTGTACGTCATAAAACCAAACCACTGGACGATGCTCTTCACATCACAAGAGTCGTTCAGTTCAGTGCTGATATAAACGGTGCTGGTTATTTATTCAATACTTAAAACTAAATAAACATGCTTTAAAGCAAAGCTACTATATTGGAAAAGAGAAACTTCCTTAACAATCCAAGGAAACACATTTTCATTATGGATTCCTCCTCCAGTTGTTCTGGTCCGATGATAATCCTCAGTGTGGTGGCAACGAGTCACAGGTGTAACACCTGCACTAGGCTGAGGACGAGCGCCCTTCCTTCCTGCTTGCTTTCAAAAGTACCACAAGTTCTTACTTTAACACGTTGGATGGTAGAAAAATATTTAAACAAGAACTCGTCCCTGTTTGTTGTGAGAATGGTCCTACAATTATTAGTTTGCTTGTTTTGTTCAGCAATCCAAAACCCAAATATAAAAACAGAAAAAGCAGCAGATCTGCAGGTTTGGAACCAGTGAATGTTTGCTGTTTTTGACTGATTAAATGGCTAAAACAATGTTTCAGAATGTTTGCTGATTATTTTTCTAACTGACTTTTCCTGTTATTATAGATAACTATGTGCATCGGCTGGTGGCCAGTAAGACTGACGGCAAGATGGTGCAGTTTGAATGTGAGGGAGACACCTGCCAAGCTGAGAAAATTGATGCACTTCAACTAGAAGTAAGAGTTTCCCTCTGTCGCTTTTTTTGGCTGAGTCAACACTGAAATCCTCTAATTAATACTGTGTGTGCACAGTACTCGTACCTGCTGACGAGCCAGCTGGAGTCTCAGAGGATTTACTGGGAGAACAAGATTGTTCATCTGGAGAAGGAGACGGCCGAGGAGGTACCGATGGTTCCAGACGGCAGGGCTCTTTAAATGGGCTCTGCTGTGTTTTCTAGCTGATTAATCCTAATGATCCTTTCTGGTTATCGTTTGCCCTCTAACCCTGTTCTCGTCTGTCCTTTAGATAAACAACATGAAGGCTAAATTTAAGGAAACCCTGGAGCGCTGTGATAACCTGGAGCAGCGGTTCGGAGACATAACCAAAGAGAAGCAGAACATAGAGAAAAAGTAGGTGCTGCTCTGGCTGCATTACATTATATAGTTTTGGTTGTGTGTATTGTGTGTTCATCAGTGTCGAGTGTTTCCATTGTGTTGCTGGCTCTGGTTCTGAAGACTTCAACCTTTGTTGTGATGTTATTGTTTCCTGGAATGTGCCGCGTTGTGCTCGGGATTCCTGAGATATCTCACTATCTTAACACCTCAACTGCCAATAATTCATCAGGAAAAAGGTTTTGTTATTAGTTTATAGTTGTAGGATCTGGTGGTAGATTCCTTCCCTTAAAGGTTCTCTATTTATGAGGTGGAGAAGTTCTGTCCTGTAGACCAAGATGAAAGTGATTCTCTACTCTCATTGCGATATATTTGCAGTGATAGTAAAGTTGGTTGATTGAGACATTTTGAAATTTCATTAACAGCGGCGTGCTGTTAATGTGCGTGCTGGCTTCCTGCTGTTTAATGGTTTTGTTAAAGGAAAACTATGGTTTCACTTAAGAGTGACTTGGGTTCTGTGACCAGAGCTATGAAAGCAGAGAGGTTGTGATAAACCATTGTTTTCCTGTAAGACTATAAAAACAACCTACAGCTCCGCTGTGTCTGTGTGTTCAGGTACACTCAGCTGAACGGTCGAATGGTGAAGCTGAGCCAGGAGCTGAAGGAGGAGCAGGAGATGAACCGCTATCTGAGAGCCAATCAGACGCAGCTTCAGTCCCAGCTGGCAGAGGTGGAGCAGAAAGGGTAAGAGACGAGTGAGTAGAGAGAACGGACCGCAAGGAGTGGGTTGGCGGTTCAATGCCGGCTTCTCCAGTCACCATGTCGAAGTGTCCTTGAGCAAGACGCTGAACCCCCAGTTGCTCTGGGTGATATCACCAGTGTGTGAATGTGTGAGTGCTTGGGAGTGTGACTGGGCAAATAGTGTGACAGCGCTTTGAGCGCAGTGTGTAAAAGGGCACTATACAAGTATGAAACCATTTACCACACACGAAATGTCCACGACCTGCTCAGCAGCAGACCGGGTCAGAGCCCAGCTGGGGAACACAGTGGAGCATTTAGCAGCTCCAGAACCAGAGGTTTCCCCCAGGGGGTGGTGGAGACCAAACCCAGAGCGGCAGCACTGTGTTGAGGCTCATCAGGGGGACACTGACACTGCTGTGCACGGAGGAGCATGTTGTTTCTGTAGGAAATAGTGGCCTGATTGCAGTTCAACATATCAACTTAAAATATGTCTGCTGTTCACAGCTTGTTTGGCCTGTCATTGCAATTTTAAGAAAATCTTCTGAAGTTGTAGTTAGTTTTAATATGTTTTCTTCTTGAATGTATATTTAAACTCTGTGTTGTGTGGTGTTTCTATAGGTGATCACAAGGACGCGACAATAGCAGAACTGCAGGAGCAGCTGAGAGACGTGATGTTTTATCTGGAGACGCAGCAGCAGATCGAACACCTGCCTCCGGAGGCTCGCAGTGAAATCCAAGAAGGACAGATCAACATTGCAGCCAGCCCGTCGGACGCGGCTCTGGACTCGGCAGCAGCAGGCACCTCCTCTGGCAGAGGCAGGAGAGGCCGTGGCAGGAAGAGGAAGTAGGAAGTGTTCGACCGTACTGGAAAGTGGTAGAAGCACCGGCTGCCTCTCAGTGTGGGCACAACCTTTTGTTAACATGCCTGCATCATTGTGGCTTCTCAGAGAAGGAGAATGGTGTCCTGAAACAGGAGTAAATCGTCTTGATCTTGACCTGCACAGTGGCCCAGCTCAACGCGATGTAGCTTCTGCAGGGAGGAAGGTGCAGGTGGATCACTCAGTAAAGGCACAACCACCTGTGTGCTTTCTAGATATATTTATCATCTGTGTGATGTGAATATATTCAGCTCCTTCTGAATCGGTGATGGAGATCTATTTTGGTCATAAAATTATGCTCATTTGTGCCCAGTTTAAAATCTTATTTTTAACCAAAGTCCATTTAACAAATCACTTCAAACTAATCAAAATATAAACAGCTGGTAGTTCATGTCTGCTTTGTATAAAGAAATATTATGATGAAGGTGTGTCAAGTTTCCTGAATCCCTTCAGGCTTGACTTTTAAGTCTGTTAACTTAAATTTTTTAATAGTTTCTGAAAATGCTACTCAGGGCAAGAAATAGATGGAGGAGAAGGGGGGTTAGAAACCAGGGTGTGGTTTGTGTGTGTTGGTTAGAGCAGCTGATCGATGACCATTGTACCTGGACAACAGTTTCAGCTCTTGGGTGCGTTTGTTGCCACTGAATCTGTTTGTGTTGTTTGCTCTGAAGTCAGGCTCCTGAATTTACTAAACTGTTTTCTGAGTTGTTCACGTTGCTCTGAGGTGTAAAGGTGAAATGGATGCTTTTCAGATTGCAGTGAACTGATGTAAACACCATCAGATTAAAGATACAGGTGCAGCTTTGGCTGTTAGTGCTGTAGCTCAGGTGTCTGACTGACTTGTTCCACCTGTAGTAACAAACTGGTGTCATGTATGACTAAGCCTCCTCCTACTTCAACATTAACAGTTTACTTGCAGCAGCCTGTTGAGAGTAAACTGTATACAGAGGCCTCTTCCTTTCCGGAGCGCAATGAGAAATGCACTGACAGCTGATAGAAGCGCTGACGTCCGTGTGGCGTCTTGTTGAAGCCTGATCACTTCCTTTTCACTCCATCTGTACAGCAACTGTCACACTCGCATCTCTTCTGTGCAGTTGTCATCACACGGTCTGCTTTAATGACTGTGACTCACAATGCGGTGTGGCTTGTGTGTGGTGCAGTATGTACGAGCCTTGTTTTTATTATAGTCACAGGCAAATGATACAATATGTAAATATTTGCCACACCTCCTGGGTTTCTATTTATATCTTAAATATAGCCTTTGTAGCCTGCACACCCAGGCTGTAGTTGTCAAGAGCCAAAGTGACAAATATTTGCCTGACCAACAGTCCAAAACCCCCAAATATTCACTTTATTAGCATGTGAGACAGAGAAATGAAGCAGATTTTCACACTTTAGAAACAGGAGCCAGGAAATGTTTTTTTTGTTTTAGGTATGGCTGAAACGATGAACCAGCGTTTGTTTCAGCTCTGTATGCAGATTTGAAACTACATGTTTGTGGAGTTACAAGTACTACGCAGTGATCTGTATGCAGATTTGTGGAGTTACAAGTACTACGCAGTGTTTCCATGTGAAATGTAGTAGAGCTGAAGTATGAAGCAGCAGAAGTGTCTTGCAAAGAGGTAGACGAAAGATTGATACCACTCATGCCTGTACAGTAAACATGAAGATATAGCCAGTTAGCTTAGCTTAGCATGAGGACTGAAAATGGGGTAATGGCTAACCCGATTTAACTAAATCCACTAAAACTCACAAATTAACACCTTGTATATTAAACAGCACAGCATGTGATCCCCATTAAACTTGTGAAATGTGTTTTTGTACAGATTAAACACTATATAATGAATCAGCTAGCTATTTCCCACCTTTATGCTAAGCTAAGGTAGCTACCTGCTGTGTCCAGTATCTCCCAGTGTGTTGAGCAATTTCTTTAAGTTTGATCAATGTTTTACTTTCCACTGCTGCAGACACGAAACCTGCCGCATGTTTACTGTGAGTTAGTGCTATCTGTGGTTATATAGCTGCGATTAATCTCATTTCCTATATCACACGAGACACAGCCGCTGTTGCATATCATATTTGTACAGATAATAGGAACTTGGTGTCAAATGAAAGGCTTATGATCAGTGTTATGTAAGAGCAGAGGTCAGAAAAAGACATTTTCCTCCTTGTTTGTGAATACACAAGGAGTCAGAAAACAATGTTAGAATTCAGGTTTCACTGTAAAGATGACAAATCACATAGAAAAACAAGCACCTGATCCAGATCAGAGTCAAATGTGATGGCTGTTAAGTGAACCCAGCGTGGTGTCATGTGTCAGGCCCTTTGTTAAAAACACTCAACAGAAACTGGAAGGAAGAACCAGAGTAATAGAAACTAGGAGGAGGAGCTAGTAGATGGTTCAGCGGTACGATAGGAGGGCTCTTCCTGAGTTGAGCTGTTTGCTCTGTGGGGCTGGTCTCCGCTTCTTCTACTCCCAAACTATGGACTAGGCCTACACACAGCTGAAAGATTTAAGGAACATGTTAAGGTAAGCAAACCTTTTTTAGCTTTCCTGATTCTCATTGTCACATTTCCTCTCTCCCTGCTCTGCGCACACAACCTACATGTTGAAGGCTGCATGTGGGGCAGAAGAACTCTACCTGCCTCTTCTCTGTGATAAATCAGCGAAACTCCACACAGAAAAGACACCGTTTTAGAAAGCTAACCTCGAACTTGAGTTGTATTTTCAGCTTTTAGTTAATGCATATTTTTGCAGCAACAACTCACATAGCATCCAATAAAGAGAGACTCACTAAAGCATAATTTTACGCAGTGTAAAGTGCTCTGAAATGTGTGGTATGCAGCTGGTCTGTTCAGGTCTCTGCACGAGGCACATATCTCACTGGTTTGTCTCCCCCCTCACTGTGTGTGCTTCTAATTTTCTTTGTGCTGACATAAAATCAGCTTGGGTTTCCATGCCAAATCAAATACCCAGCTCAGTCGCACAATGCATCAGTATTCACTGGAAGTGCTGCTGTGCCAGTAACAGAAAATAAGTTCCCAGAGGTCAAAGTTCTCACTGGCAGCAGTGTAGATTGTGTAAATAGTCTTGTATAAGGCTTTTCTGTGCATAGCAGCAGCACTTTCAGGCATCCATCCCCAAGCGCGCGCGCACACACACACACTGGTGATAACTAAGGGTTGCTAGCATTGTGCTTAAGGACACTTAGGCATGTGGACCAGCGAAGCCAAGAATTGAGCCACCAACCTTCTGGTTCAGAGACGACCCACTCTGCCTGCTGTGCCACAGCTGCCACAATATTGCTGGTGACCCGACTTCTACTCGGTGTAACTGATATTTTCTTCTTTTGTTGTAAGAACAAACAAAAAAAACATGCTCACACAGAGAGTCTGCACTTCCTTCTTTCTGCAGGGACATTTTCCAAGTATTTCTTTACTTGATCTGAAGACAGACGCAGAATGTCCTCATGTTTTCTCAGTGCTGATGTGTCCGTTTGAACCAAACCTGTCACTGATCTGGGTGTGCAGACCCTGTTTTTGTGCCTTGGGTTGTGACTTTGGTTATACGCACCCCAACAGAGAAATGTAACATAACAGACACTCAGAAAAGTGGTGCAGGTGCAGTCTATACCAGTATCAGGCCTCTGTTTGGCTTTGGCTGCAGGTTTCTTAACGCCAGCCACATTGTATTTAAACTCCACCAGTCATATTTTCATCCCTTAATCATAAATGTGAAAATCATCACCCAGCATTTCCGTTCCCTCACTTTTTCAGGTTACCTTTCGAGTAGGCACAGCGTGAGGTCTGACTGACCTGAAAGAGGAAATGGCTGAGGGCGTTATTGCACTGACAACTCTGACTGTGCCGCAACAAGTTCCTTCTAAAGTCACAAAACCTAGACTGTTAGTGATTTGTAACTGATAGCATGACTACACAATGTGGTATCAAACATCTATCTGTGTGGTTACTGGTGGCAGCTTCTCTCACTGGTGGTGGTGTCACTGCCGCTGAGAAACTGATGGTTGGACTACAGAAAAGAAGGGCGGTTGTATCTTATCTTGGCATTTACATTTAAAATAAAGTTTTTTACATTTAATTAAATTATGATGGCATTTAAAGGAACAGTTTGCCATTTTGGGAGCTACACTTATTTGCTTTTATGATAACATAAGAAGACTGACACTCTTTTGTCTATATGCAAAATTTGTTAGCTTAGCTTAGCATAAAGACTATAAACGGGGGAAACAGCTAACATAGCTAGTGGCTTTCCATCCCATAAAATCCAATTTTGACAACCACCCTGACAAAGAGTCTTCTTCTTCTTCCTCTTTCAGCTGTTCCCTTTAGGGGTCACCACAGCGAATCATTTGTTTCCACCTACAGTAACTCTATCCTCAGCATCCTCTACTCTCACCCCAATTAACTTCATGTCCTCTTTTAGCACATCCATATATCTCCTCATTGGCCTTCCTCTTGACCTCTTGCCTGGCAGCTCCATCTCCAACATCCTTCTACCAGTATAACCACTATCCCTCCTCTGCACATGTCCAAACCATCTCAATCTGGCCTCTCTGACCTTGTCCCCAAAACAGCCGACCTGAGCTGTCCCTCTGATGTGCTCATTCCTAATCCTGTCCATCCTGGTCCCTCCTAAAGAGAACCTCAACATCCTCATCTCTGCTACCTCCATCTCTGCCTCTTGTCTTTTCCTCACTGCTACAGTCTCTAACCCATACAGCATAGCTGGTCTCACTACTGTCTTGTACACCTTTCCTTTGATTCTTGCTGCCACTCTTCTGTCACACAACACTCCTGACACCTTTCTCCACCCACTCCAACCTGCCTGCACTTGCCTCTTCACCCTGTCCACCCTGACAAAGAGTGGACAATATTAATAAATAGCTGGTGAACATCAAGGAGCATTTAGTGGCTAAAGAGCCAGATTGTCCCTCAGGGGGCACCAAAGACTAAAACAGGAGCTGAAAGACAGGAAACGCAGGATACATTTATCAGGCGGTAACACAAACATGAATCAAAATGAAAACTAATCGGTCCACATTTGCTGGATTTGTCGCCTAAATGGGCAACAGTTTCACCACAACAATTCTTAAATGATATGTCAGATGTTTTAGTTTCAGCTTCTGCACTACAAATCAACCCTCACATGCGAGTAGTGATGTGATTGTTAATTTGAAAATATGGATCACAACAGCTTTAAAGACCTGTTCATTCTCTCTGCAGATGAGTGACCGAGACAGCAGCACCTCGGCCTCTCAAACTGAGGGAGAACTGGAGGAAGAGGTGGAGGGAGGAGGAGAAAGACATGAAAATCAGAGGGACAGTCAACCCCTCAGTCTGTCCGACTTCTCGTCCACCTTGCATGCTGTCATCCGCATCAAACAGAAGTACCAGGCCATGAAGAAGCGCCGTCAGGACATGGGTGTGAGACTGGGAGGACCAGGACTCCCCACAGGGGCTCCAACTCGATCCAGCCCCAACATCTTCACCTTTGACACCCTCAACCCATCCACCTTTCCCACCCTGTCATCCTCCAGCTCTCTGAGGAAAAAGAGGAGAAAGAAGAAGCGGGTGTTGTTTCCTGAGGGAGGGCGGTGCAGGGCCACGCCAAAACAGGAGCACAGTCGAGCCAAATACTGCCTTTACCTGCTCAGTGCCATCGTCTTTCTGCAGGTAAAGGATCCAGCTACAACCTTTACTACAACTGTACATTATTAAATTACTACAGTAACTCTGTCTTTTCATTGATGCTGGTCAGACTTTTGCAGCTAAAGCAGGACTTTCTGTTGGTTTGAACTGCTTGACCCTGGACAGGCAAACTGTGAGGAAGCTTTTTCTGAAGAACAGATGAGTTAGGGTGTCACTGGCCGAAATCTTGAGCCATGAAGGTTAAAGAGTAACTTAAAAAGCACCAGATCATCATCAGCTAAAACTGCCAGCACCTGCAAAACATTTCCATCCGCCTAAGCTGTACTTTGTGCTCAGTGCTAGTCAACATTTGTTAGTATGCTCTCATGCTAAGCTAAGCTAGGAATACCTGGGAGATGGGTGACAAAGCAGAGACCTAATCCCTGACCCCCACAGTGAGGGCATCCGGTGGCTCTGGTATGTGGGGGGCAGTTAACTAGCACGGTTTGGCTCCATTTGTCATCCCAGAGGGAAGAGTCAGTGTTGTTCTTAGTCATCACCTTCATCTTGTGATGAATCCTTTCCCTCCTGGTGGGAGTGGTCTCCTCCAGAGCACCCCCCCATCCACGTGACACCAGAGGTCACTGACTGGTCTGATGAGGATGACCATGGTGTGAACCAGATGCTGTGGCCTTCCCAGTCACCAGGTCTCAGCCCAGTTGAACAGTTATGGGAGATGTTGGAGCGACGTGTTAGACAGCGTCTCCACCACCATCATCAAAACACCATGAGGGAACATCTGCTGGAAGAATAGTGTTCATCCCTCCAAGAGAGTTCAGAGACCTGGAGAGTCAAGGTGGAGCTGCCTGGTTCAGTACCTCACTGGGACTCTGTGCTGGGTTGTTCCTCCATCTGCCACTGTCTGTAGCTGCTAGCGTGGCTGTTTTGTTAGCATATACCCAGGATCAGTGGGTTATCCTGGTTAAGTAAAGTCAACTGAATTTAATCCATATTAAGCTCAGTAACAGTACTGTTTGGGCTGGATATTGATATTGCTGCACCACTTGCACCTGCACCCTTCTCTCTCCCACCTACACTGCAAATATTGAGGGTGAGGAATTTCTGTTATCATTTGTCTCTCCTGTGTGAGCCCACTGCATGTAAATAGAACTGTTTGCCTACGTGCTCGGTCATGTCAGTGTTCATTCAGAGTAGAGATGCGCTGTGATTCAGGCCTGAGGTGAGTCTGATGAATCCCACCATGACTGACTGCTGTACTGTCATGTCTGTCCTGCAGCATTACAAAGTTTATTTAGCAGTTTCAAACATAAACACGTTGAACGGGCCCATGTGTGTTTCTTGGAGTCAGTCGCTGCCTGGACACGAGTTGTTTCCATTTACAGTGAAGCTCCAAAGTAAACAGATCTGCAGAGATTACCAGGCTCATTAGCAGAGGTTAACAAGGTGTGAGAGTAAATGTAAATTCAGTACCTTTGTGTTTCTGACTGGGGTTCAGGCTTCAGAGAATAATGACCATTTTTCTATATTTTCTGAAGGTGGCTCTCAGGTGTATTGACAGTCAAGCTAACTATAGGTTGCAGCCTTATAGTATGTAGTAATACTACGCTGCCTGAGGTTTTCTGTTAATTATTTGGCAAACAGAAAAAATGGAAGCAATTTTGATAACTGTAAAATAAATGAAAACAGTTGAGGTCTCAGAACCAGGTTTTTACGCAGTCCTTCAAGACCAAGGCCACAAATCATCTGAAAACAGTCCTTCAACAAGACCAAGGCCACAAATCATCTGAAAAATTGTGATTAATTATATTAATTCAGGTGACAGGGAGTGAACATGGGCCTTTTGGGGCTCCCCCGGGAGTTTTTCCCTCATGTTCTTAATATCTGTCACCTCCAGGTGTACAATGCCATAGAGAACCTTGATGACCACGTTCTCAGATATGACCTGGAGGGACTAGAAAAGACCCTGAAGAGGGAGGTGTTTGGTCAGCAGGGAGCGGTGGAGGGCCTGCTCTCCCACCTGAAGGAATACCTGTCCACCTATGTCCACAACAAGCCCCTGGTGGTGTCCCTGCACGGCCCCAGCGGAGTGGGTAAGAGCCACCTGGGTCGTCTCCTGGCAGGACACTTCCGCTCTGTGGTGGGGGAGACGCTGGTGCTGCAGTACTACGTCCTCCATCACTGCCCCCAGGAGGCCGACGCCATGCAATGCGCCCGTGACCTCTCTGGCCTCATCTCAGAAATGGTCAAACAAGCCGAGGAGGAGGAGAAGATCCCGCTCTTCATCTTTGACGAGGTTGAGCACATGCACAACGAGATCCTGGAGACCTTGTGGCAGCTCGTGGCCTCCAGACAATCCAATGAATACCTGAACGCCATCTACCTGTTCCTGAGCAATCTGGGTCATGCACACATCACCAAACATATGCTGCACAACTCCTCAAGCATTTCTCTGACGATGGCAGCATCTGGTTATAGTAACCTTGTAAAAGAGTTAACTCCGATATTACGCAACACTCTGGAGAAGCTCCACCCACTGTGGGCAGAGGCAGACATCCTACCTCTGGGCCTTCTGGAGAAAGGTCACGTGATGGAGTGCTTCCTGGATGAAATGACTCGAGAGGGATTCTACCCGGATCATACCAACATAGAGCGCCTTGCAGGGGAGATTGAATATTACCCCGCCGTAGGGGGGCACAAATATTCCCAGACAGGCTGCAAGCAAGTGGTGGCTAAGGTCAACCTGCTGTGAAATGCTCTGCAGGACATGTCTGGATGATTCATATTCTTTTAATCCTCAGAAACCATGCATGAAAAGTGAGTGAGGTAATGTGGTTACAAAACTTGAATGACGCAACTCAGAGCCAATGTTTTCAAGAGCGTTTTTGCAAGGGTGAAAAAAATGTGCTCACGGACAGTGAAGACGTTCAGCTGGGGAAGAGCAGAGGTTTGGAAATTCCCAGTCCACAAACAGTCCTCAGAGGGTCAGGGTTCAGGGCCTAGTGGTATCTCCATGCACTAGGTTTTAGTTTTATTTATCCAGGATCAGAGGTTTCCACCAGATACAATTTAGGTGAATGAACTTTGGTTTTTGGTGCTCAGCATTAAGAAGTGACACTGTCAACAGTTTCCACTGGGACTATTGCTTCTTCAAATGACAACTGTTGGCAGTGAGGTCTGCTTTGGGGACAGCTTTTCTGGAAGGACACTCCTGCTGTTTACACGGATGTTAGTGTTTCACTTTGAAATGTATCAGCAATAACTGGGTGGATTGCCACAAGTTTTTTGCACAGATCTTCATGTTCCCCTGAGGACGAAGCCCTGACTGTCGTGAAAGTCAAATTTATCACTTATCTAGTGAAATATATCCATATTTTCTGGCACAACGTCTCTCACACATCAAACCCTACTGTAACTTGGCTGATCCTGAGTTTTCATTGGGTCAAAATTTTAATGTAGGACCTGCAAAACTAACGACAGTCCCGTCACCCTCAGATGTACTTCTGCTGTTAGTGCTAACTAGCAAATGTTAGCATGCTAAACTAAGATGCTGATGTCAAACACTGTCATTTGGAGCATGTTAGCATGCTGGCTTCAGCATTAAGCCCAGACCCCCCCCCCCCCCCCCCCCCCCCACGGTCTCATTTCACTGCCAAAAGGTGAATGACAGCTCATGTGCAGAGGTCACAGAGATGGATATACACATAAAAACAAAACTCTTTGCTCAGCTGGATACTACTAGAAGTAATTTAAAATGTGTATTTGAGTGAACTGACCCTTTAACTCTGACGACGACGCAGTTACCAGCTACTGTTTTAGGCAGCTCAGCCAGACATGGATGCTGATTACATAGTGTGAAGGATACTTTTTACTGGTGATGCTGTTGTATCAAAGAGAAGAACCAGAACCTGATGGAGAGCTGGAGAATATTAAGACACACATTAAGTTCAGATATTTATAATACATCACTTACAAACTCATTTTAGGATGTTCATAGGAAGTCTGTTTAGTCAGTGACATTGACAGCAGCATGACTTTTATTAGTGCTAGTGCAAGTCAGCAGGTTCTGTAGACATTTCTACAAAATCTACATTCAAGCCCATGGTTTCAGTCCTGTATTATTGCAGCTCATACACTGAATATTATGGAATAACTGACTCAGCCTCCGACCTGCAGATGGAAAGTCGGTAGTAGAAGCTTAACATCAGATTTAGCTACAAGTCTGGTGATGAGTCCTCTTGTCTTTGAGAATATGTGGACAAGTTTGTTCGTTAAAGATGTTTTGCACAAATCTGTGCTCCAAACAAATGAACAGAAACAATGCAGACTTGTGCTAGCACTAAGATTATGTTTTTGATTGTTGAGTATGTTAATGTCCTGTGTTCAGGTATGATTCAGTCCAAATATTTCTAATAAAAACGTGAGTGTCTTGGAATTAAGGTGATACCATGTGTTAACTATTGAACTTTAGAGATGCAGATAAACAATCTTGGGATTAAGCCAGACAAGCTGTTCCCTCCATGTCTTCGTAATGCTAAGCTAAGCTAGCTGACTGTTGAAGGTAGCTTCAGTTTCACTGTACAGATGAGTGGCAGTGTTAACGCTGGACTAAAAAGCAAACATCACATTATTCCTTTACAATTTTTTTTGTCAAATAAAAAAAAAAAAAGTGGCAGAAGAAGCTTTGCAGGTTTTGGCTGCTGTTGCAATAAGAAAAATTTCACAGCCTGTTTAAACTGTCTTTAAGTTATCAGTAAAAACAATCCCACACATAAACACCCCATAAAACCACAAACCGACTTTACACTTTGGTTTTTGTATGGATTTAACTACAACCTGGCTGGATAGCTGCTTCTCTGTTTGCACTTTTCATGCTAAGCTAATAGTTTTCTTGATTGCACAGATATGAGACTGGTGCCAGTACCCTTATCTCCTTCTCTGTAAATAAGTGTAGCTTTCCCAAAATGTAAAACTATTGAACTGCTGGTCCACTTACCAGCTTTTTCCAGAGCTTTTAATTGTCTCTGTCTCCCTGCAGATGGAGTTGGTTCACAACAACTCAGCAAACCTCATCCCCTGAGGACCGTGAGTAGATGGAGTTGGTCCACAACAACTTGGCAAACCTCATCCCCTGAGGACCGTGAGACATTGTAAAAGCTCCAGAAAAGGCTAGTTAAGCCTTGAGTTACGATGTATTTTGTCAAATTATTACCTTGCACCTTATCTGCAAGAGAAAAGAATAAATTTAAGACAGTTTTAATTTTATTATTAGAATTCCCTTAACATTGGAAAAATGAGGTGCTGTGTCTGAGGGACAAAGAAAAGAGTCGTTGAAACATAAGCAGATGGAAGAAGCGCATTTTGATTCATGTTTACAAAAATAATAATAAAATAAATAGGATGGTCATAGGAGAAGAGGGTGGTGATGTGGGCCTCAGGTCGCCCTGTTACACCTCCAGCTCAAAGCCCAGGCCGACTTTGTGTCCGCCGGCGTTGAAGTTCTTCCCGTCGATCAGGGCTGAGAGGGTGACCTTCACACCTGCAGAGACAAAGACCAGAACATCATCACACCATGGCCAGATCCGGTGGACACAAACTCCTAGTAGGTAAAACATGGTGGAGCCACACTTCTCCTGCTCATACTCCCTCTGTACTGTCTGTAGGTTTCAGGTTTGAGAGGTGCTCGGGTGGGAGCCTACCTGGGCGAAGGCTCTGAGTGTAGCCTACTCCGATCAGACTGGCGTTGTTCACTTTGGCCTGTGGGTGAAACAGGATGTGAGATGAAACAAAGCAGCAGAACATGTCTGTTCTGCTTGTAACAGCCGGAGCACTTACAGACACAGAGATGTCTTTATCCAGCTTGTATTTGGCAGCAATGCCAAAGCGAGTGTTGTTACTGCCAGCGGTCCAGGCCAGAGTGACCGCCGTCTCCAGCTCGTCGTTCACCCTCTGGTAGATGGAGCCGCCGAACTCGGCCCCGTCATTACTGAGAGAAAAAGACACCACGCTGTTGTCTCCTTGGATCATCAAGTTCGCCTTCAAAATATTAATTTTAGCCCCTTTACATTAGAGAACTGGCAAGATGACTGTAAACACACAGATGTGTGTGGCAGTAACAGAGCACTGATACGTATTCTGTTCACTAGGGAAGTGCATCACACCCAGAAAAAGGGAGGCTTCACCTGAATTACTGTCTCATCGCTATAAGAAAGATGTGGTAATTAGAGATGCTTGTGTTAAATTAACATCACGAGCTTTGTAATGCACAAAAGTTTTAAGTGTTGAAACTTTAAGACTTTTCATCTGCTTCTGATCCAGAGAAGACACTTGTGAGTGGTGCTCCCCGTGACCGGCAGTGGAGGACTCACACGTTGGTGTGCAGCTGGAAGTCCCCGGCCCTGTAGCCGAGGGCGAAGTTGTTCTGGACCAGTTTGGATTTGGCCGTGTGGAAGGCCATCTGGTAGCCGGCCAGCCAGCCCTCGTAGCCCAGCACGGCCGCAGCGTGGATGATGGGCCCCTCAAAGTCGACGTCACAGCCCAGGTTCACGTAGTTGCGCTTGTAACCCGTCTTCAGCTTGCCGCTCTTCTTACTGGAGACAGAGTTTGAAGGGTTAAATGTGAACCTCTAGTACCCTGAACGTTAACAGTATAAACTGCACTACGTCATCCTCTTCCCAGATCAGGCATACTGTCACTACAGTTCACTTCATGAAATTAGTGGACAATAACAAATATAGAATACATGAGCCTTTAAAGGGCAGCGAGAAACAAAACTTCACATCAGATCTAATGAAACGAGGTCACGACAGTTTAACCTCCAATGGATTAATGTGATTTTAAAAGGTCCTAGCCCTTCAGCGTAATGTAGGTATTAACAAAACAACGAGACCAGGCCTGACCTCATGTAATCCCACTGATTCAGACAAATAAATGTCCCCTCACCCTGTGTTGGGTACAAAAGATGTGTCCAGGGCGACCTTCAGTCCTTGAGCCAGCTGTAGGCGAAGTGAACAGCCGTTAACCACACACCAGTGAAATAGTCCAACGGTACCCTTATCTGTTTGCACATGCACAGACCTGGTCCTCCACAGTGACTTCAGTAGCCAGGGTGTTATCTGTGTTCCACTTCTGGTTGATGATCAGGCCCAGCTCCTTCATCTTGTACTTGGTCTCCAGGCTCCCCGAGGCCTTCCCCGTATCTGTGTTACTGGAGCCAGACGTGTTGAACTCCTGACATGAGGACGAGAGGGACATTCAGCTCGACATGGGAACCCGAGTGAACATCCGCAAAAACAGCGACACCTCACAGATGGGGAGAAAGTAAGAATCATGCCGACTATGACCAAACTTTATCATTAAGCTGCAGAGAAATAAGTGGAAAAAGACAATAGGAGACACCGGAACTCATGAAATGGACAGAAAAATACACCAAGTTTATGGACACAGACCAAAGCAATGTCTGCACTGCCATGTTTGTAGTTTCTTTTGGGCTCTCAAAGGTTTCACTTTTTCTATTTAGCAACTGGTGCTGAAGCTGGAAATTAAAACTCCAGGAATCACGTTTTCAGAAAGACCAAGAAAACAAATGCTGGAGATGGTACTGACTTAGAGGCTAGACCGGATGTGATGTCATGTACGTTTTAATCTATGTAAACTGCAGTGCATGTTGTCTTTGGTGTTAGTACATGGTGGCAGTTTTGGTTTGTATCTATGTGCATTTGTTAAAACTTAAACATTCTTAAGGAACACATTGATTTTCATGCTATGAGAATGATCGTCACAAAGACCAAAACCATTCAGACACAGATTCCACCAGAAAAACAAGGTGCGAGCGAGCAGAGGATGAAGAAACAGGACAGAGACACAGGCAGAGCGGTCGGCTATGACGCCACCTTACCATCTAGGTTAGAGTGTGAGCAGTCCACAGCAGAGGGCGGCAGCATGGAGACAGAGGAGGGGTTAGGAACGGCAGGTAGAGAGACAGACAGGCCACACACCTGCTGGCCTGTCTGTCTCTCTAGAACAGAGCACAGAACAAGCCGAGCTGGTCGGCAACAGCCCTGAAAGCTTCAAGCTCCAGCTTAAAATGGAAGATCTGTGATCAGAGGGGAAGGAGACGGTTAGAGACTTCAGCAGATGTGTCAAGAGAACGCAGGTTAACAACTCACCACTCCACTTTGTGATTTGGTCTTAAGGTCCAGCTTTACAGCACCAAAGCCTGATGGGAAAAAAATGCCAACAGTGAATGGCTTCAATATCATGCAAATAAATTTAATTTAAAGGAATAGTTGGTCAGTGTGGGAAATATTTGCTTTGAGAGTTAGATGACAGGACTGATCCCAGTCTCATGTCTGTTCATTGTGATGGTTAACTTAGCATAAAGGCCCCGCCCTCCGACACAGGCCAAAACCCACTGACTGAACGAGACACAAAATGTTTTCTAGTCATTGTGCATCTCTTTAAAGCAGGCGGAGTGGCTCTGTGTTTGAGAAAACACTTAATTCCCTCCTGGGGCTGAGCTCGTACTCACCGTAGCCCTTGCTGAATATGTCCTTGGCAGCCTTGCCCAGGTCTGAGTATGACGGAGGGACAGCCATTGTGCTGGAGAAAGGTGGCAACATGAGTGTTACAGTTCAACACAAACCTGAATAGTTCTCTATTCTACACAAAGGGTTTCTGCAATGTTCACCCCAAGATTTCATAATACTACAGTCAATGGATTAGGGAAAACCAGCAGGGACAATAGGACCTACAAGGAAAGGGGACGTAAAGCTTTGTAAAGACTCTTCCAGTCCTGCAGAGACCCTCAGATCCTCAACAGGGGAGAAGATGTGGGTCTCTGTGAAGCCAAAGCTGATCCTGGATGAAGGCAGCCTGCAGTCACTGTGTATAAACGATTCATAAAGCTGTCGCGAATCAACAACGACTGGGGCACGTAAATGGAACCCTGCATGTGAGCACAAATGTGCACAGAGACAGATGAGCCAGCCAAGCAAGCAGATGTTCAGGTAGCAGAACAAAAGGCTCTCTCTACTGTGGTCACCATAAAGGTTGGTTTTAAGAAGCCCCCTTTATGCCACAGTCACTGGTGTTCACCGTAAGAACAAGTGGAGGGAGGCTGTTGACAATGACAGTCCAACATGCATCTGGGACAAAGGACCACAGCGAGCCAGTGAGGGAGAGGTGGGGGGGTTTGACAGCTAGTTAGCCGCTGTGTGGGCTGCAGACCGACTGAGCTAGCTAACTAGCAAAAGAAGGGACACACAGGTCAACGTTAAAGGTGCTGCCTCCCCAAACACACCCCCTCACAGCCAACTAGCTGCTCAATGACGCGGCTGATGAAGTAGCTAAATGCCGGGCTAAAGGTAAAGCTCTGCCCTGTCACACGGGAAACCTATGATCCGAGGATGAAACTGCATTATAAGGCTGAACATCATTACATAACGGAGCTACAGTCAGCTACATCGCTTCGATGCTAGGTAGTTATGTGACTAACCTTGAACACAAACAAAGACTTTCACTATTATGAAGCTCGGCGCTGCATCTACGATCATTCGGCGGTGCTGACGCTCCTTACCGGTGCTAACGTGTTAGCCGAGGTGGTCTGCTGCGCCGGGAGGTGCCTGTTGCGATGCGGCTCAGCGGTCCGACAGCTAGCGTGACGCTGTCTACAACTGGGACAGGGCACGATGAAGGAGACATACGGCGCATGCGCGGTCACTGTAAACAGAGTCGATGCGAAGGAAAGAGATTAATCTCCCGACCACAACCTATGTGGCTTCTATCCGAGCTATTTTACAAGCGTAGAAGAAGAACACCGTGTTTTGTGTCTTTGTATCTGCAGCTGTTGTGCATCTTTTTGTGCTCGTTTTACTTCTCTTTGTTGTTGCTTTACATTAGTTTGTGTTCATTTTCCGTCTCTTAGTAGTTTTACATATTTTATTGTCATTTTGTGGTCGTTTGCGTTTTTGTGGCTATTTTGAGTCTCTGTAAATCATTTAGTGTCTTTTTGTGGTTGTTTTGCATCTCTGTGGTCTTTCAACATGTTTTGTAGTCATTTTGTGTCTCTGTAGTTTTCTATCATCTTTTTGCCCTCTTTGTCCACACAGACTTTTTACCACATACACCGATCAGGCATGACATTATGACCCCCTGTACATCTGTATGCACTTCAGTGCAACACTTCTGCCTAAACATTTGTGTTTATGAAGCTCAACATATTTCAGTTTTTGGTGAGATTG